ACTCCCACGAGTTCCTGTATAATCTTACACCTGTATCATTTTCTTGTAAAAAAATGTGCTAACTCATTAATACGGTATATATCAAGGGAGTGTCATCTCAAACCATTTCAAGGTTAATAACTGGATAAATTATGATATCATTTAGATAGTTGTAATCAATTTGTAACCTACGGTGGCACAAAGGTGACATGTGTGTATTTTTATTTATCTCGTGGCCACGAGATACTATGTCGTGGCCACGAGTTACTAAGTCGTGGCCACAATATATCTAAGTCGTGGCCACGAGATACTATGTCGTGGCCACGAGTTACTAAGTCGTGGCCACGATATAGCTAAGTCGTGGCCACGAGATATTATGTCGTGGCCACGAGTTACTAAGTCGTGGCCACGAGATACTATGGCTGCCGGTACAGACCAGAATATCCAGCTCGAGGGTAACTGTTTCCGTCTGTACCGACAGCCGGTGTTTGATTCTTTTACTTGCATATTATTGAACAATTATTTTCTGAACAGAAATAACGAAAACTCATATTCTTAGTATGCACTTTTTTTCTTAAAGTAGGGTATGAACTTACAACTTCATTCATAACGGTAAAATGACGTCACCCCAAGAACACCATTCATAAAAGGCGCGCGACAATCACGTCATTTAAAGCACGCGACTTGTCTTAAATGGAGTTGTAAGACAGCTTTTTCTAGCACTGATGTAAACAGTAGATGTTCCTTTCTGATGTGCAGGATTAAGGATCTCCACTAGTTGTGATTTTATGGTGTTATCCTAGACTTTACAAGTCGAGACATGTCAGTCTTTCTATCAAATATTATATAGGATTTGTTTATTGTTGCTCGGCAACGGACAGAAATGAGATATTTTTATCGCTTGATTTAATACAAGCTGTTCCAAGAATGGAATAATAATATAACAATACAGAACTTTATTCAAATATATATTTCAAGATGTTATTGCCTTTATACGAGTAGAATATCATACTTATCATCGTATATTGAAAGATCGATTTCTTTTGCATTTGCACTGTATGTATTCACAATATATGGCAATCCATATTAATAACTTAATGAGCTACTACTTTTGTCATTGGTTGTATTAGACAAATTGAATGATATTTACGGTCTCATTATCAATGATTAAATCCAAACAAATTGAATCTTTTCACAACGAAACAAACATCTGAAAAATCAATACATGTATTATTTTCAAATGATGAGGGAAAGAAAAGTAACTGTAAATTGTGACCTTATCTAGGTCACTTTTTTCTTATAATAGTTTTTTCTCCAGAGTTTCAATTTCTTTACAATAATTGGTAAGAATATTTCATTACAAACACGTCAATATTGTCTGAATATTATGATACATATTTCTCGAGAGAATAAAGTTCTACCATTTAGAGATGTTTCTGATTATTAAATAGAAGAAAAAAATGTAAGGATAGATTTCAAAACTGAGGTTGTGGGTATAAACAGTATCGTAAAAAATCCACCATTTGAAAATTTGTTGCGTTATTCTGCTTGGAAAAATGTTTAGCAGTCAAATACAAGTATCATGAAGCTTTAAAAGCAAGGTGTTTAATCGTGTATATATTAAGTATGTGAATTTATTTCTTTTGATACGATGAGAGCATAATTTGAGTTATTTTTCAAAATGTGAATTAATTTCTCATTTTTTTTACTTTTTTTTTCTACCGATAAAGATGTGCACTCAAATCAAGTATGAAACCATAAGTGCCTAATTTGAGTGTTTGAACGTGTGTACATTAAGCAAACATTTAAACTTTTGAATTTATTAATTTCAGCAGATCATATACACATGTACTCGTATGAAAAAGAAATATTGTTAAAACACTTGCCTTAAATAAACCTTTTCCGTATATTTATTTCTCGAGTCTTAAAATATATGGGAAGTAAATCAACTATATTTTCTCAGACAAAAAAAATGGAATAACTTAATCATAAAATGTTACCAGTATTAAAGGTTAAACTAATTTCCCGCATATTCGTAATATACGTATTGCAAATACCAATCCAGAAAGCCAAAAGACAATTACATGTAGCAGAAAGTAGAACCAGTATAATTGCAAAAACAAATAAACATAAAATCAAAAGACAATTACATTAAATTTGCAGAAAGTAGAACTAGTATAATTGCAATAAAAACAAGCATTAAGTCAAAAGACAATTACATTAATAAGAAAGTAGAACAAGTGTTATTACAAGAAAAATAAACATAAAGTCAAGAGATAAATAAATTAAATATACCAAGGAGAAGTACCCGCAGATTTGATAAGGGGTCTTTTACGGAATTTTAAAGTACATCATAGCAACATTAAAAAAGGGCTGATTTAATGTTATTTTAATAATAAAACGCAATTAAGTCATCAATTACAAAACAAACATTTGTGTAGAATCATTTAGTATGATCCTGAGATAAAGACGAAATAAGTATCTTTCAGATATTCTGTTACAGTCGTTTTGTGTTATTTAATATGCGTTTAGATGTAGATAAAATAGATCATTTTAGTTAAAATATATACAAATTGTCATATTGTTGTTCTTATCGTTTGTGCCGAGGTACATTGAAGGTAGATATATAATTAACAGTTATTTTACAAACTCACGTACCGATACTTGGAACTTCTAATTGTTGAGTTCTAAGACAGCTGTTTTAGAAATATTTTTAGTTCAGTTCATATTGATGGAACCGTCAAATACCTCGGGACTGTGTCGTTTAACTTCTTTTAAAACTTAAACTCGGTTCGGCCTTAATGTGACTGTTAATGTTAATTGATAAACTAATAAACTATTTGGAAAATGTGATATTTAATTAAAGGCATTATTTTGGGCAGTACGTACGACCTATCATTAAAGTTTAACTAGATCGATGCACGTAAATGTAGCAAATAGTTTAGTGAATATATAACGAATTATAGTTAGACCTGACTGGCAGTTTATCGTAAAAGTTACAATGGTTTGATTGTCATTCAATATTGCTTAATAAACAACGTTCAATTAGGCTTTATTGTGAAATATAACAAATTTACGGTGTGTTGCCTAGATACCCTACGAAAATAGTTTATTGATAAATTGTTCGTAGTCTCTATCATTATCTTTCAGTAGAACAATAATAGTCTAAAAATAGCATCATGCTTATGTTAGTACATTATAATACTTTTCAATTATAACTTTTCAATAATATCTTTTTAGATTGTATAATGTAAATTGTATCATAGTTTGAAGATATTTTTGTTGAAACTGTGTCAGAGTTTAATCGAATATCAAAACATACACAATGCGATAACTTTAGTGCAGGTACGAGTTACCGGCACCCCAGGTTCTACACTGTCTGTCGGGGATAATAAAAATATAGCATGGTCGTTGATTTGCTCATTTTTTTGCTGCGATTTACTTATTCGACAACAGGAAATAACGATAGAAAAGTACATTGGACAGGTTATTTTTGCCAGTAGTTACATATTATGACGACAGGGAACGTGTTTTTTGTTTGTTTATTTTTTTGCCAATGATACAATAAAAGAAAGAACATGGGTCGAAATATGTGCCTGATCTAAATACTAAAATATACCAACTGTCATTTTATCCAAACCATCAAGGTATATCCGAATGAATTGTATCTAAAAGATATATAAATATTTGTTTTCGTACACAAATACCAGGTTACAGAGAAATTGTTGGTTACATGTAATTGTCAGAGAAATTGTAGAGTTTTCCCTGCTGTCGTATATTAAACCTTTTGCTTATTACAAATTCATTGTAATTTCAAGAAATTATATAGTTTGCTATGAGCAACGTTCGCACCACTCAAGAAAAAAACATCAATTTAATAAATTCATATTATTTTTCTTGCTTGACTTAGTTAAATGATAATAAACAATTTTAATACATTGGCATCTTAGCATGTGTGCAGCAACGATTTATTGCAAACCACGAAACCTAGGGGAAGAATAAATCTAGCATTTATAAAGAATATCAATTAATTTCATACGACCACCTCAACACCAGAACTGTCTCACTGGTATATGAAAGTCTGAAATATGAGGGTCTGAAATCTTTGTCACCAAGTTTTAGTATCAGTTCTGAAACGGAAAAACGTCGTTTATTATATATATTTTTACTTAGTTTATATATCATATCAGTCAATCTTGAAACACATGCTATACGCAATAAAAACACCTACAACTAAAAGCAACATGCCATTCAACAGTTTTAATTGTGAAAAGATGTTGATGTCGTGGCAAGGGGTGGTGGTTGGTATTTGATTTTTGTTATTGATGATGTTTCTTCTTTTAAAAAAATGCGTATTATATTTCAAAGAGGCTTTATATAGTGTGGAAATGTAATTCAATGAAAAACAATTACTTAGTGTGCCCAACGATAACAAAACAACGTAAACCGAATAGTAAAGCTAGATTTTTCTAACATATGTCTGGGGTATCTGCCTTTGAAATAACATGACAAAAAGCAAACAATTCAGTGAAAAATAAATCGAAAAACAATCTGAAAGACTAATTAAATTCGTCCCGTTATCCTATTATAGGAGCAGCCAAAGATTACATAAACTCTGTTTTACAGTCTTCATTGTGTTTATATATCTACGAGTATATGTAACTGGAGTATAAGTATTGATTATATACATTATATAAACTGGCAAACCCTATTTTCATTATATGTCATTTATTTTGCACTATAAAGTGACCTAATTCCGTTTGCAAAAATTGCTTCTCTTAATTGTGTCAACAGTTGTTAATACCGCTATTATATTTTTATAGTTATTATCGGGGGATATTTCATCTCTCAGTACATTGTAAAAAAACTGTGGAATGTTTCTTTGTTACGGACATATTGCTAAGCAACCGAATTGCATTTCAAATTTTCACCTTTTTTCCGTGTTATTCATTTGATGTTATGAATTGAATAACGATAAAGAAGAAAAGAAGAATGCTGTTTAGATATTTGATACTAGAATTGACCAACATTAGATAACTGGTAACACCATATACGCGCACAAAGAATATGATGTTGTGAACATATTCAGTTTTCAACAACACGTTATCTGCGTCATTAACAGTGTAAATGTTGTAGGAAATATAATACTATATAGGAAATTATATACTACTGGACTGGAATGTTAGCTTCCCAAATGCCTTATTTAGTTTGTATACTTTCGAACTAAAGGATATTTCAAGTGAATGAATGTAAGTAATTATTCATATTATTTTGCGGTTGTTTTTTTTTCAGTCCAATTTGGTCAACGCGAAGGATATTTTCATAGAAAACAAATATACTTATAGGGGATGAACAGAACAAAATTGAATGGAATAAATCACTGATAAATCACTATAATAATAACCCTCTCGCTTTATAATTGTCTTGATATTTTTGTATATTATTTCTTGTTGCTTTCAAGTCAGATGTATATATTGGGAAATATGAAGAGGTATAATAAGAAACAGACATTTGTTTTTATGCAATGTAGAATAAGTCAATTTTATAATAAATGATAGACGTTTGTTATCACAAAAACACAAAAATGTATATTTTATTGTAATCTGCTTCCAGAATAAAAGAGGATTTTCCGAGTGTCCCTCTTTTTGGCCCGTTTAAGAGTTATTTCTTTGAAAAAACACACTTAAAAATACTGCTTTTTGGGCAAAATAGGACAAAAACAGAAAAATTGTAGCAATATATTTTTATTTTTCAACAATTTTTGTTCATACGTCTGAACAAAAAATAAGAATAGTGTAAAAAATAACAAATATATTAGCAGTTTCAAACTTGTTCATACGTATGAACAAATTTTTTTCTCAACTTGTCAAGATTTTGTTCATACGTATGAACACTGAATAAGTTCAGCAATATTGAGTATTTTTTAACAAAATTTTGTTCATACGTCTGAACAAAATTACCTCACATACTGAAAAATAGCACCATAAATTAGACAGACGCTTCAATGTTGATCAATTTTGTTTTCAACTTTTAAGTTTTTTGTTCATACGTATGAACACTGCATGGTCATTTTGAAACAAATTTGTTCATACGTCTGAACAAAAACTGACACAGAGCAAAAATACCCACTTCGATTTTGTTCATACGTATGAACAAAACTATTTTTCTTTTTAAATTGGCAGGTTTTTGTTCATACGTATGAACACTGGAATAATTTTGTGGTTATTTTAAAACAAATTTGTTCATACGTCTGAACAAAAACTGACACAGAGCAAAAATACCCACTTCGATTTTGTTCATACGTATGAACAAAACTATTTTTCTTTTTAAATTGGCAGGTTTTTGTTCATACGTATGAACACTGGAATAATTTTGTGGTTATTTTGAAACAAATTTTGTTCATACGTCTGAACAAAACTAACTCACAAAGCGAAAATAGCACATTAATTAGCATTTCAATTTTGTTCATACGTATGAACACTGCATTATTTCAGTAATTTTGTGGTTATTTTGAAACAAATTTTGTTCATACGTATGAACAAAACAAACTCACAGAGTGAAAATAGCACATAAAAAAGCTGCTTCGATTTTGTTCATACGTATGAACAAAACAAACTCACAGAGTGAAAAATAGCATATAAATGAGCCACTTTGATTTTGTTCATACGTATGAACAAAACAAACTCACAGAGTGAAAAAAAACACAAAAATTAGACACTTCTATTTTGCTCATACGTATGAACAAAACAAATTCACAGAGTGAAAACTAGCATATAAATGAGCCGCTTGGATATGTTCATACGTATGAACAAAACAAATTCACAGAGTGAAAAAAATGCATATAAATGAGCCGCTTCGATTTTGTTCAAACGTATGAACAAAACAAATTCACAGAGTGAAAAAATGCATATAAATGAGCCGCTTGGATTTGTTCAAACGTATGAACAAACAAATTCACAGAGTGAAAAAATGCATATAAATGAGCTGCTTCGATTTTGTTCATACGTATGAACAAAACAAATTCACAGAGTGAAAATAGCACATAAATAAGCTGCTTCGATTTTGTTCATACGTATGAACAAAACAAATTCACAGGGTGAAAAATATCATATAAATAAGCCGCTTCGATTTTGTTCATACGTATGAACAAAAATAAAAAAAACACTTTTCAACTGGTCAGGTTTTTGTTCATATGTATTTCAATTACTTTGTGCTTATTTTGAAATAAATTTGTTCATACGCCTGAACAAAACAAACTCGCAGATGATTGAACAAATGTCCCCGAAATTGGAGAGAAAAATAAGAGGTTTAATCAACAGTAATTACATAAAATAAATACAATTTAAGATATTCTGTCATACATATGAACAAATGTCTCTAATAGGCATCATTAGATTAGAGTAAAACAGTGTTTAATATGAATTCAAATTTGTTCAGACGTTATGATGAAGAACATTTCTTCACAATTTGCCAATATAAATATTTTCAAACATCAAAAATAATTACATATATTAAAAACAAGAGCCCGGTTTGAGCCGGGTGATGCTCCCCAAATAGGTTTTGGACACAGGAAAGTACAGCTCTTGTAGTTTCAGAGTTATGTCCCTGGAAAAAGTTCAAAGTGCAATAATTCCAAAATAAGGCAAGGCAGAGTTATTGTTTTTATGCACTGCACTTTTAATTAATGCGATCTATCAACCTACAAAGTTTCTTGTTGATATCTCTTATGGTTTCCGAGTTATGTCCCGGACAATGTTCAAAATGTAAAAATGAACAAAGGGCAATAACTATAAAATTTGGCAGGGCGGAGTTCAAGTTCTTGTGCACTGCACATCTACCCATTGAGACCCATCTACCTACAAAGTTTCATGTTGATATCTCTTGTAGTTTTAGAATTATTTCCTGGACAAGATTTTTTTAAAAGGGGAGATAATTCAAAAATTGGGCAAAACAGAGTTATGGTTTTTTTTGTACTGCACTTTAACTCAATGAGATCTATTTACCAACAAAGTTTCATGTTGATATATCTTATAATTTTAGAGTAATTTCCGAGACAAAGTTCAAAAAGAAAAAATTAACAAAGGGCATTAACTCGAGAATTAGGCAAGGCAGAGGTATGATTCTTGTGCACTGCACATCTACCCATTGAGATATATCTACCTACAAAGTTTCATGTTGATATCTCTTATAGTTTTATAGCTATGTCCTGGACAAGATTTTTCTAAAAGGGGAGATAATTAACAGAGTTATGGCTCTTTTGCACTGCACTTCTACTCAATGAGATCTATCTACCTACAATGTTTCATCTTGATATCTCTTATAGTTTTAGAGTTATGTTCCGGACAAAGTTCAAAGTGTTAAAATTAACAAAGGGCAATAACTCCAAAATTAGGCAAAAAAGAGTTATGGTTTTTGTGTACTGCACATCTACCCTTTGAGATCTATTTACATACAAAATTTCATGTTGATATCTCTTATAGTTTTAGAGTTATATCCTGGACAAGATTTTTCTATAAGGGGAGATTATTCAATCAAAGCACAGATGGCGCTGAATTTGTTTGGGTCTCAGAATGTCAGAAAGGTGAAGGTTGTGAGATTATAAACCAATTTGTTTTTGTAAAGTGCCACCAATGCTTTCCAGTGTTTTAACTGTAGTAAATTGGCTATAAGACTAATTGCAACACTGATAGTCAATTCAATGTTTATTTGACTTAAAAAAAATGAGTTGCCTCAACTGGGATTTGAACTCCAGCCCTTTCGATTCATAAGCGAGCGTGCAAACCCCTCGGCCACGGTGGATATATATGTTATCGGCCTGAAGAAAACCATATTATTCTAAATTAGGGTTTGTAACTCGACGCTAAAACAGATGTAAATAATCATGGAGCTTACTGTAAGCATGTATATCTATAAAGAATGAAACAATATTAGAAATCTTCGACCATTCGGGAACTACTTTGCTTGAAAATTAATGCGCCGGTCATTTGACATTCTTTACGCATTGATCTCCCCTGAATTTTTCGGCGTTAGTGTACATATAAAGGGAAGTAACCGCTTCAAAAAAGTGGACTACTTTAGGCATTTGCAATTAACAGCATTCGACTCTGAAATTTCGCTACCATTATTTGTTTGGTCTGACGACCCAAACAAATAAAAACCGGGCAAAATAGAGTTATGGTTCTTTAACACTGCACTCCCACTCAATGCCCTCTACCACTGTATGAAGTTTAAACAAATTATCTCCAAGGGTTTTCAAGTTATGCTCCGGACAAGACAAAAGACGGACAGACGGACAAGGCGGCGACTATATGCTCCCCCAAAATTTTTCGGGGAGCATAATAATTCCAGATATTTTGTCCGCTAAAGGGGATCATTAGAAGTTAAGTGTTTTAAGTATGAATTGCAATTTGTTCAAACTTTTGACATTTCTTTCACTGCCAATATAAATGTTATTAAACATCAAAAATAATTACTCAAAATAAATACAATTCATACATTTTTTTGAATGTGTGCATCTAATCAGAAACTGATGATGACAGAAAAGGGTAACACTACATGTCTCAGCCATTTTATGGAGGGGCCATAAAAACATCTTTTTTATTCAAGGGCAATAGCTCTGAAAAAAATCATTAAGCAGAAATTCTGTGTTATATGCGCAAGTACTTGGGAACTACAAATCATTCCTGTACAGTTTCATGGAAATTGCATAAGTGGTATAAAACAGTAGTGCGGACAAACTTTATTAACACCTTTTTATTTAAGGGCCATAACTTAGCCAAAAATCATTTAACCGGAAACCCATGTTATATGCAGAAATTATTGAGTAATCAATTAATCCTGTCTGTAGTTTCATTTATTTTGCGTAAATAGAACAAGAGGTGTTCAATAGGTCTGGACAATCTTTAATAAATAAAATTCATTAAAGGGCCATAACTCTATTTTTACTATATACACATATGAAGGAGAATCAATGACCCCCGGAACAGGGCCAATTTTAACCCAAGGGCCCTTATTTGAACAAACTTGGTAGACACCCATTAGAAGATGTTTCATGCTAAATTTCTTAGCTCAAGCTCTTTGGGGTTTTTAAAAGAAGATTGTTTAAGTTTTTACTATATACATAAAGGGAAAAACAATTACACCCTGAAACGGGGCCAATTTTTACCCCAGGGTTTTTATTTGAACAAACTTGGTAAACACCAACTAGAAGATGTTTCATGCTTAATATCTAAGCTCTAGCTATTTGGTTTTTTTTAAAAGAAGATTTTTTAAGTTTTTGCTCTATACAAATAAGGAAAATCAATGACCCCCTGGGGCGGGGCCAATTTTGACCCCAGGTTATTTATTTGACCAAACTTGGTAGACACTGACTAGATGATGTTTCATGCCAAATATTTAAGCTCTAGCTCTTTCGGTTTTCTAAAAGAGGATATGTATTTTAGGTTTTTTCTTTCAGTTGCCATGGCAACCAGAGTTCTGCTTGGAATGAAATTCTTTGAACAATTTTTAAAGTTGACTACCAAAGGAACATTCCTGTGAAGTTTCGATGAAATTGGCTTAGTGGTATATGAGGAGATGTCGTTTAAAGTAAAAGTTAACGAATGTACACCAGACGGACACCGGATGAAAAGCTATCACAAAAGCTCACCATGTCACTTTGCGACAGGTGGTCTAAAAACTAAGCACAATGAAAGTAATTGTTCTTTGACACTAGCACTTCCTCTTTCTAGTCTCTACTACTGTGTGAAGATTCAATGAGATAGTGTTGATAGTTAAGAGGTTATAATCCAAACAAGCGTTATGTATGTTATAAATGGAAATAAATCAGTGTCTTGGTTAATTGACACAACACTAAGTCTTCCAGTTTATAGTCTCTCCAACTGTGTGAAGTTTCAACGAGATAGTATTAAAAGGTTAGAACTGAAGCAAGGTACAGTTATGCTTCTTAGACACTGTACTTCCTCTCACTTTGGTCTCTTTCATTATGTGAAGTTTAAATCACATTAATTCCTTCAATACTTTTCAAGTTATTCTCCAGATGGGCAGAAGGACAAGGCCATGATTATATTATGCTCTCCTTTCCTGCAGCATCATAAAGTATTGGAATTGCAACTGTTCTTGAAAGTGAAATAACTCTTTTCCTTTCACCTGAAAACAAAAACAAAAAAAAACCACTTTCATTAATAATAATTATTAACCCTTCAATTCTATACAGCAAAAACAATGCAATGCCTGCCAATAAAATCCAGTTAAATGACAGAGTTAATTTTCTATTTACCCTGATAAGACAATGAATATAGAAACATAATGAGATAAGAAATTCTTAAGCCTCAGGGGCTATTGCATGTCTCCAGCAATTATTAAGATATTTGACTTTACAAAAAACTTAAACCAACGCAGACGCCACTACAATAGCTCTCATATTCTCCGAATAGTCGAGCTAAAAATACAAGAGCCACCACCTTGCCAAGGGCAATGCTGGACTTTTTTTACTTTTTCTAAAAGCAAACAAATAGTTATAGAAGTTAAAAAAAATAAAAACAAGAGGGCCATGATGGCCCTGAGGTCGCTCACCTGTATATAGCCCCCCCCCCCAATTCTTACCCAAGGGCTTTTATTTGTTTATTTGAACAAACTTGGTAGATACCCATAAGAAGATGTTTCATGCTAAACATCTAAGTTCTAGCTCATTGGGTTTTTTAAAAAAGATTTTTTAAGTTTTACTATACACATATAGTTAAAAACAATGACACCCCTGGGGCAGGGCCAGTTTTGACCCCCGGGCTTTTATTTGAACAAACCTTGTAGATATTTACTTAAAGATGTTTTATGCTTAATATCTAAACTCTAGCTATTTGGGTTTTTTCAAAGAAGATTTTTAAGTTTCTGCTATACACATATAAGGAAAATCAATGACCCACGGGGCGGGCCAGTTTTGACCCCAGGGCTTTTATTTGAACATATTTGGTAGACACCCATTAGAACATGTTTCATGCTAAATATCTTAGCTCTAGCTCTTTGGGTTCTTTAAAAGAAGATTTTTTTAAGTTTTTACTATATGCATATAGGGAAAATCAATGACCCCCTGGGGCGGGGCCAATTTTGACCCCAGGGTTTTTATTTGAATAAACTTGGTAGACATTCACTAGAAGATGTTTCATGCCAAATATCTTAGCTCTAGCTCTTACAGTTCTTTAAAAGAAGATTTTTTAAGTTTTTACTATATGCATATAGGGAAAATCAATGACCCCCCGGGACGGGGCCAATTTTGACCCCAGGGCTTTTATTTGAACAAACTTGGTAGACACTCACTAGAAGATGTTTCATGCCAAATATCTTAGCTCTAGCTCTTACAGTTCTTTAAAAGAAGATTTTTTAAGTTTTTACTATATGCATATAGGGAAAATCAATGACCCCCCTGGGGCGGGGCCAATTTTGACCCCAGGGTTTTTATTTGAACAAACTTGGTAGACATTCACTAGAAGATGTTTCATGCCAAATATCTAAGCTCTAGCTCTTACAGTTCTTTAAAAGAAGATTTTTTAAGTTTTTACTATATGCATATAGGGAAAATCAATGACCCCCCGGGGCGGGGCCAATTTTGACCCCAGGGCTTTTATTTGAACAAACTTGGTAGACACTCACTAGAAGATGTTTCATGCCAAATATCTTACCTCTAGCTCTTTGGGTTCTTTAAAAGAAGATTTTTTAAGTTTTTACTATATGCATATAGGGAAAATCAATGACCCCCTGGGGCGGGGCCAATTTTGACCCCAGGGCTTTTATTTGAACAAACTTGGTAGACACTCACTAGAAGATGTTTCATGCCAAATATCTAAGCTCTAGCTCTTAGGGTTGTTTAAAAGAAGATATTTAAAGATTTTTCTTTCGGTTGCCATGGCAACCAGAGTTCTGTATGGAATTAAATTCTTTGAACAATTTTTAAAGGTGACCACCAAAGGAACATTCCTGTGAAGTTTGGATGAAATTGGCTCAGTGGTTTATGAGGAGATGTCATTTAAAGCAAAAGTTTACGGACGGACGGACGACGGACGGACGGACGGACGCCGGACGAAAAGCGATCACAAAAGCTCACCCTGTCACTTTGTGACAGGTGAGCTAAAAATAAAAGAAGAAAAGTAAGTTATCCTTTATTTTGCTAATAGGTCTGTCTGGTCACATTTGTTGTATACCGGGGGTAGTGACCCAAGTATGAATCATTTCCATAAATACATGTAAATGACAAAGTAGCAAAATTCAATATCTGGCCTGATTGAGGTCATTTTAAGGTCAAGGTCATATCAAAATTATTCAAACATATCCGTTTGGTCACAAGTGATCCCTATATGTCGCCACTACTCCATAGAGGCGACACAAAAATGAAGAAATAACATAATTGAAATATTATTTATATAAAAAATATTATTTGTGAACACCAAATTCCTTAATTTTGAAGATAAAACAGTATTTCTTACTATGAAAATTATTTACTTTGTAATTAACTTGAGTACTTAGACATATAAATTCATTAAGATAGTATTTAAGCTAATATGAATTTGGGATAAATATAATCTTTGTTATTCTGTGTTTTTATGGATGTTACAGAAATAAACTAATGATTCTTTTTACAGTTACTAAACTTATCTTGTTCAAAGTTATGATGCATTATAGAGAAGAAGTAATCTTTGCAGCTATATAGGAATGTTTCACACAGCAATAAAATAGCCAGTATTTAAAAAATAAGAACTTGAAGGAAACCAGGAAGAGGTGCAAAAGTTTGAGATGTTGAAAATATTATTGTGAATAAAATTAGTCAATAGTTAAAACATAGATTCTTTAGCCTTAAATATAAAAGTGACATTATGCTCAATTTATCATTGTCACGTTGAGCTGGAATTTATTTAAGAAGATTGACTGTTATGATGGTGATTGACCAACAGTGAATATTGGACAATGTTTAGGATAAAATATTATTTGGCCTAAAATATAAGCAAGAGGGCCAAGATTGCCCTAGATTGCTCACCTGACCCATCGAACTCATCCGAACAATTACCTAGACAAGCATTCTGACCAAGTTTCATGACAGGTGAGTCAAAAATGTGACCACTATGGGGATAACAAGTGAGCAGTGTGACCTAGTTTTTGACCCCAGGTGACTCATATTCAAACTAGACCTATAAATCATCAAAACAAACTTTCAGACCAATTTCCAGGATGTATGGATCAAAACAGTAGCCACTAGGGTGTTAACAAGATTTTTCTATTTTTAGCTCCTGTGACCAATATAAAGTAATAATTACATCAAAACAGTGGGGGACTACCATATCTGTTAGAGAATGCCCATCATTGAATAAGCTGTACATCAGTTAATCAAAGAATTTATTGAACTTCAAATTTTTTTTAATTTTATTTAATTGAATCAAATGATATCTTTGGATAATCCTGCTGACATTCCACATAAACTTAAAATTTCATCAAATCGATAGTTATTAATTGCAACAATTTAAAATCTTAAATTTTTCAAGAAATTTTTAAATTGTTTATAATACATTGTGTGTATTTAGTGATGCGAAATTCAGGCTTGCATATGTTGCAATATGAAAACTTTTAATTTACTTCACACTGTATAATATCTTTTGCAAAGATTAGTCTTATTATACAAGTCAAGTATTTTGTAACTAATTTCATGTATAGAATTTAAGAAAGGTACCTGTATGACATTTTATATTGAACACAGTTCAATTAAATGCATTATCTGGAAAAAAAAGATTATTTTATTTCAATAGCAAATTGTTCTTATTTTATTCCAAGCATTTCAATTTTCATTCAATTGTAAGATAACTGGAACAACTTTTCATTGTGAAACGGAAAAAGGATGAAACTCCTTAGTTGTCTGGTAAATTGCTACATATTTCTCCTAATATTTCCTATTATTTTACATTTATTGTACTATAATATACAAAGCATGTTACTCACAGAAATTTTATTACTTTAAAATATAACCAAAAAGAGTATGAACTGTGAGCTTTAACATCTGAGCCTGTCTACAGGTTGGGGTCATGCTGGTGAACAAGTGTGCAAAGTTTCAAAGCCATATGTCAATGGACTTTGAAAATATTTGAGGTATACCAAAAACTTTAACATAAGCGGTTACCCCGACCCCGACGCTTGGGTGACTACAATAGCTCGACTACTTATTCTTATTGAATAGTCGAGCTAAAAATAACTTTTGGTTTCGAAAAGTGGAACTAAAACTATATAGATCAACAACACATTATGTGATACATTCATGGCAAACAATTAAATATCACCTTACCTGTTTAATTTTAAGGTGATAGAATAGTTTTTCCAAATCTCTGTTACTTGCTTATCTTTCCTACAATCCTACAACTTTCTTATGCTGACATCTTCCTAGCCTTGTATGTTGACTATTTTGCATTCTGCAGTGTTTACGAAAACTTTTTTGATCATCCTGGACATTTTCTCTATTGTATCTATTGTATGCAGAATCTGTCACCATAAGATGTGGCATAATCTTTCTATCAGTGAATTTTCTTTCTTTTTCTTCGGACACCTTCAAACAGTGCACAAACAGTCTCATTGTCATTTTCAACTAACTTAAGAGCAAAATGAAATGTTAATGAGTTTTGTTGTCTGATAAAATTTGGAGAAAAACCTCCCAGCATACTGGCACATGTACATAAAATACACTTTCCAGATCAAACTTTCCTCTTGAAATAGATTTGTTTGTGTACTGTGAGTTTCAACAATGGTTGGCATACATTGATAAAATTATGTACTGTCCTTAGAGGTAGTTTCCTCATACACTGTTCACCACAAAAAGCAAAAGCAAACTATTTCAGTGCTCCAAAGACTTCCTTTTCATTCTCTTTGAACTGGCTACTTCCTCTGAAATTACAATTATTATATACAATCAAAATTATAACTAACAAAACCGGGCATTGCCTAGCTTTTTTCTATTATTTCTTCAGTCAAACACATTAGAGGAAGAATATTACAGTAAAAAGTACTCTTATAAAACACAATTTTCTTGTAAAAAAAACCTCTCAAATTTCATATTTGACCTTGACAGTCAAGGTCATTTAAATGCCAAGGGCACAGTTGAATTAATCATCAAGTCAGTTTTGTCATAAGTAAAGTATTCTTTTTTTCCAAGAATGAATCAAATATATAAATAAATAACAAAAGCAAATGTCAGTCTGACCTTGATGGTCAAGGTCAAATAGTCAAGGTCACAAATATTTGAATGATTCAACATACTGGTTTTTCCCAAGAATGAATCATATTAATGTATAAATAACACAGTTATAGCCAATTGTCTTTAAATATAAAGTTGTTTTATTCATTAATATTAATATATATAGAAAGTTACAACAAAACAAGGTGGATTTTAATAATTTGACTAACAACAGAGAAGTGATCTACTCTGTAGCAGGAGACACAAAAAGCACTTAATTATATGCAGAGTTTTCAAACATTTTTTGTTGTCATTTGTTGTTTGTCTTTGTAGCGTCTGTTTATCATCTGCTGTTGTATTGTATCAGATGGTTCCGTAATGTACGCTTATTAGCGGAAATACACGGAAACGGCCAAAACAATTCAATTATGGTATCTCGTGCAATTTTATGAACTGTTTTTGTATGTCCACTTGTCTTGTAAGTTGTATGAAATAGATTTCATTGAATTTTAACATATAAATAAAAAATAAATGATTAAATCATCTGGTACTGAATTGTATTCAAAATAAAAAAGGACCAAAAAACTGCTGTGAAATTTTGAATATATATATATAAGTGAGAAAAGGACTTAACATTTTGCCAATATTTCAATAAATTAAAGGGACTCCACTGAGGTTTTTTGACATGGCGGGACTGGAAATAATTTTTTGAGATTATTACTCCATTTAATGAAGATCTATACAAATAACTAATGTGCAAAATTTTAGAACATTAGCTCGCTCCGTTTTTCCAGAATAATTATTATAATAGTGAAAATTGACCCAAAATTGAAAAGCGTTTAAACGCTTTTCACTCAAACACTTACAAACTTACTTGCATGATTTCAGTCGGCCATATTCCCTAGCCATGAATGATAACTCCCTGTTTCCCCGTCTAAAATTCCACCAGATTATTCCCCTTTTAAATGAACTCAAAGAAGGGACCATTTTAAAAGACTTTGTATTTATTTATTCGATTTTTTGTTCAGAAACAGACAATTTTTTCTTTACCTTTGTATAATTTGCTTTCTATCTATATATGGTTCTTATGGTAAACATATGAGTTTTGATGGTAAACAAATGAATTTTCTGAACCGAAAGTAATCTAACACACACAACGTTGCTGTCATCACATGTAAACAATACATTAAATCGGTAAGAATATTGAGATATTTGTTTGACTATCAGTTTCAAATGCAAAATATTAATATGGAAAACAACTATGTGTAGTTTATGTGTATTGTTTTAATGAGTTTGTCTGCTATTTTAGTTGTAAAAGCCATGTACACTTAGTGTCGCTTCATAGCAACCAAGTTTAAAACGTGAGCGGTAACTGAACGAGATATGGCAAAGCGCATGCTCGCGCACTGACTTCCGCTCTACTGTATCGAAATACTGCATATACATATAGCGAAAGTTCGTAAGTGTCAAATCAGACTGAGAGTAGCACAAACATACAATTTTCAATGCATTTCTTGTATATTTCCTAGTAATATTTTATTTATATTTCTGTTTTAAGTGCTCATGTTGATCTGTATGAAAAAATAAAATTTTATATTTTTAGCCTTACAAACCTCAGTGGAGTTCCTTTAATGAAATTTAAGTAAAGAAAATGTATAACATTGAAGGAAGTGGCTAGCCGTACGGGCCCGTACGGCTAGCCAAAAGGTCTAGCCGTACGTGAGTCACGTACGACTAGCCAGGACGCACTGTATTGGCTAGCCGTACGGCACTTTTCAAAATTATATGGAAGTCGAAAATGCATATGTTATTTTATGACTTTAAGCGAGGATTTTAACCAAGAAACAGCAATTGTCTTCGAATGTTTACTCTTGAGAAATTAATCGCATTGTTGGCTATCGATCTTTGTCATCTGGTTGCATTTAGACAATTGAAATAGTTTACAAAGTTTTGATAATAATCCTTTTTTTGTTCCATTTAGTTTAATTTTCGAAACCTTTAAAATGGAAAAAAACGAAATTAATTGTTGTTGGGCTCTGATAATTGCGTCAATTATCGACGGTATAGAAGTTATTTTGTACATCATTTAGGAAAGTTTCCATTTTCCGTTCCGTTTATCTTCTGTATTTGAAAATTATAGAAATATTTTTACTTATCACCGTTTTCTTTTTTCAATGTTCTTTTTATTTATTTATTTATTCCACTCCGATCAATATTTATTTGATCCATGTGCTTAATTAACAAAAATGATTTAATAATTCATCTTTCATACAAATAAAACAACAAATGATATGCATGAAAATCAACGACGGTATAACTTATAACATGCAACTTTAATTGATAGATTATACAACGCTTGTTAGTATTCATTTTTTTACAAAATGACGGAGCATCTTTATTAAAGTGAACACACGAGGACAAATGCAGAGACTTGATTAAAATCCTCGTTTAAAGACACAAAATAACATATAATTTTAAAAAGTGCCGTACGGCTAGACAATACAGTGCGTCCTGGCTAGTCGTACGTGACTCACGTACGGCTAGACCTTTTGGCTAGCCGTACGGGTCCGTACGGCTAGCCACTTCCAACATTGAAAACATGGTGAAATCATGCTAGGCAAGTAGCCTACCTAACTTTCCGTAGACAGGTTTTTATTTCATAGGCCTACTCTTATTTTTTATAACACATGCATCAAAAATCGTCTGTATAGTTTTGAAGAAAACAAAACAAATACAACAACAGCTAGTGTTGAGTAGCTTCAACACTGATCGCACGAAAGTCTATTTATCAGTTCATTGCGGTAAACAATACGTTTCATAATCATAATGGAACTTTATTTACAATGAACCATTTATATCATTTTACATTGCGATATAATAATGATGGAATAAAATAACAAATACAAAACTTACCAATAAAACAGCAGCTTATGTCATTCATCGTGTGTTAGGTCATGTGTACACAGCGCTTCACCAATCCGTGTAATGACTTGCTGATGTAGAGTCGACTGTTCCATTGTAATACACGGGTACATCGGGTCTCATGCCGATGGTTTAAAATTGCAAATTTTATTCTCTTTTTTCTTAAAATATAGTTTGATAAAAAGATGATTTGCAAAAAGTGTCTTTAAATTTTAAATTTTCTCACCGGAGATGATAAGGAAATCTTATTGCAGTTCAAGGCCGCTCTAAGGTAACACCCCTTATATCAAACGCAGAATGAATTGGGCCAGTTTCAATTAACGCGTCGCGCGCCGTTTTTATTCTGCTAATTAGCACAGTGACACAGGCATGCAAACTTCCAGGTTAATATTTCGCCATAAACTGACATTTGGAGAAGAATTATGAGGACATGTTCAACAACATCCAAGCTGAAGAAGTAGAGGTAATCGACTTAGATTTATACCTGTTGAATTTTTTTGTTTGAAGTCTTATTTATCAGTGTTTATTACATATAAACACTAGTTACCAGCTTATCTGGAAACTGCCCGAGTATTTTTGTCCAACTGCAGGAACTTTAAAATTGAACAATACATTTTACTGCATGAAAGTCCAATTTCTAAAATTTAATCAGTTAATAATTTTAGGGGGGGAAATACTAATTAAAGTAGATCTATGTATACAGTATATAATTTGAGATTTATTCACATAAATCCTTTACATTTTATTGATATTAATCATGAAGAGAATAATCCAGTATTATATCACAGGAACCTGAAATTCTATCCAAAACAAAAAAATAACGATTTAAAAAAAAATCCCATACATATACTATATTATAGTATATGTATGTTTTTTTTTTTTTAAATCGTTATTTTTTTGTTTTGGATAGAATTTCAAGTTCCTGTGATTATATATTAGATCTTGTATCATAGTTTGGGGACCTTTCTGTTGAAAAAGTGTCAGAGTTAAATCGTATACATATACATGCACAGTGCGGTAACTGGAGTGCAGGTATCAGTTACCCGCACTCCAGATAATGCCCGTTGATTGGTTCATTTTTGCTGGGGTTTACTTATTGTGACGGCAGAGAAAGGGAAAGCGGCAGAAATATCATATTAAAATGCTCGGTCATTGGTTCATTTTTTCTGGGGTTTCGTATTATGACAACAGGGAACGTGCTGTCATGTTTGACTATGATACAAAAGAGAAAGAATACCAAAACACTCGGCAATCTGATTTATACTCGGGGGCTACGCCCCCTCGTACAAATCAGATAGCCTCGTGTTTCGATGCTCTTTCTATTACATAATCTGGATAAATGGAGGAAATTCTTTTTTTTCCCTATAAATTAAAGTTTTTCAATACTCTGTTGGTTATATGCTGAAAAGCCCTGCAACAATCTAGTTTTATTTTCATATGAAAATAAATATTACATGAGTGATAGGATCGAGCCACAAGTGATTCAGTAAAATAGTTTTCATATATGATATCACAAGAAAATAAAATGTAAATAAATAGTAGATTATAGAAAAAACTGGAATTTTCTATTATACTTTTCTTCTCTTTTTTGACCTTTATATATTTTTTTCTAATATGCTGTGTATTCTGATTAAGAGTTTAAAATTAGTAAATTTTCAACATTGTTTTCCAGTCTGCTCTGCTGATATCCTTAGTTACCAAGATTAGGTGTAATGTAATAATCAGCCCCCCCCCACCCGGCTGTCAATAAGAATTTAACAATCTCAACACTTTCTAATACGCTGTGTATTCTAATTTCATGTAAATTTTCAACATACATTATTCATTTGGCCATCTTATCTCCGCTGGTATCCATAGTTGCCAAGGCAAGTAGTACAGGGCTCATCCTGGGGGGAAATTTTAGGGAGAAGTGACGACCTCGCGAAAATTAGGGAGAAGGGAAACAACCCAATGTGTATGCATTAACATGCATGGCTATACATCCTTTAATTATAATATAAACACAATTAACATCACTTATAATATTTCTCCAGTTTATTAATTAATAGTAGTATTAATTAAAAGTAGATTAATTATTTAGTAGTAGATCAGGCAATTGCATCTTAGCTTTCTCTAAATATGTGTTTATATATTTTCATGTACATTTGTTGATAATAATGTGTAAAAAATGATGATAAAATCAATTTCATATTTTTTACTTTACTTTCCTCACCTTTAAAAGAAAAGATGAAGTCACATTGGACATTGATTAATAATATCTGTTCTATTCTGTTCTGGTAACAGAAATGTCTCTCAAAGTCCTGAATGTTGTAATGTCACATCTATATGCATATAATTATGCTTATAAAACAATTTTCAAACATCAAAGAATATGTAAAATATGTACTGCAAACATTTGTGCACATTATATTTGATCACTAAAATTACATACATTCATTTCTTATTGAAAAATTTGACTGAGAAATTGTAGAAAATTAATTTCTAATTACCTCCCTTTATTTTCATGAAATGTTAAATTCGGTAATATCTTTATAAATAATGCTTTTTAAAATTTACAATATTGATAAATCTTAATCTGAGCGTCATATTTACGAATTTATTTTGAAACAATAAGAACACTTCTTTCCAGACAAATGTTGTTGTTATATACACGTTACATGATATACGACCGATATGTAGTTAAGCCGGGATGTCTTGCCCACGTGCGTAAACTGTGTCAAATTTGGCATTTCTACAAAGAGAACAATGCCAAACATCCCTACTGTCTACAACATACCAACCGCAAGATTTTTGCGAATTGGCTTTCTTAAATTTTCGCGTATCAGAATCAGTAACTTTCTTATTGCTCGGTTACGGCATTTCGCCTTGTAGCCATGACGTGAGCTGAGCGACATAACAATTTTACAGTAAAAATTGATGTTAACAGACTGAAATCATTCTAAACTATGATTAAGTTTTTAATCTGGTTGCTGATCATTAATGAAATTGATTATTTTTAATTGACTAACAGTTTTGTGATAGCTCGGGTCAGGTACGTATATTAATATATATACCTGCTCGGGTTAAAAACCCACCATCGAAGTGCATCGTGTACATCAATTAGGGAAGATTGTACTTGTTTAGATAATCGGGTAAAAAACAATTTATAATTATCGCCAAATCCCGTATTAAACTCGCAAAACTATCACACAATTATACCGTTTCGGGCCGATGCTCTCATTATTTACTGTTTAGAGTAGGCGGTCTATCGCTTCGCTTACAGGTAGAAGGGTAGTATAAAGCGACGCTCTGATTGGATAATGATAATAAGCGGTCGTCATATGGGCGGATACAATCTCTGCTCTTTACATCGCTAAGTAATTACTATTTGGGAATTAAGATTTTATCGGCGATGTTGACTTCTCTTTGATCAATCGGAAGAGCGAAATTGGAATATTCACGGCGAAGTTTTCGCCTGAATCGCCCTTCCGGATGAGCCCTGGTAGTAATCATCCCCCTCCCCTTGTCATCAAAAAGTTCATGTTCAAGTATTGTTTTTCTCGTTTATATGAATTTATAAATATTAAAATAAAAATTATAATTTATAAATACTGTAGTACATGCATTATTTATTTCATTATTTTATTTATGCATATAGACAACTTGAAATTAACTATTTTTTCTACTTATAAATGAAATATTGATAAAATATAATGTGTATTTTTATTTTCTGAATTTTCACAGTAGAATTTAATTATTACTCTGTGCATTGCAGTGAAACATATTTTCGTATTTTCACTGTTGTCTTGTTCTTAATTCAGCCATTCACACAATTAAAGTAGAAGTCTAAATTGAAAAGAAATACATGTATATTATTAGTGCAGACCTCAGAAGAATTTGAGTTTAATGTCAACTAAAATTGTTAATTGCTTTTTCAGTATAATTATAATAAGAAATAAAAAAGATAAATGTATTGAATAAACTCATTAATTAATATCTAACATGCATATCTTAATATGTTATTGTTCACTGATTGAAAATTAATCATTTTGAAATTTTAATACCCAATTTTCTATTATGGCAAATAAACCATTCATCGCTTTTAAGTTAATACAGGGGCATTGTTAAATCTTTGTTATGAAGTGATATAATACTGATATTAAATTATTTGCTTTGATTGGCTAAAGGCAGGTGGTGTCACATAGAAGTCCTTGTTGAATCCGTCCTTGTTCACATCTAGTTAATTCTATATATCGCCTTCCAGGAAAGGCAATAATAATCATAATCACAGCATCATTATTAAAATGATGATCACCTAAATCATCATCAGTCTATCACCACCAGAAACGTCATCATCATCACAGCCACTATCATCAAAATGTCATCACCCTATTAATTATAATCATCATTTATATATTCAGACTCAAAATAGGAAAAATCGTCATAATCATTTGTGGTCAGTAGTACTTATAATGGTATAGAGTTGGGGTACTGCCAGAAAGAAAATACCACGGTATACCACGTTTTTTTCCTAAAAAACACGGTATAAACCATGGTATACCACGGATTTTCATTGTACGCTATAGGTTTATTTTTTATCTCTAAAATAAGTATCAAGGTAGGCTGGTATAGAATTTCAAATATCAAAATTAAGCAGATCTATAAAATACAGATTAATCAAAGTATCATTTAACTTTTTTTCAATCAGGTACTTTCGACATCAAATAAGCTGCGCATGTTGACAATCATAAATTAATTGGGTCATGATCAGTTCTTGTTTTTAGCTCACCTGTCACAAAGTGACATGGTGAGCTTTTGTGATCGCTTTTTGTCCGGCGTCCGTCTGTAAACTTTTACTTTAAACGACATCTCCTCATAAACCGCTAAGCCAATTTCATCCAAACTTCACAGGAATGTTCCTGTGGTAGTCAACTTGAAAAATTGTTCAAATAATTTAATTCCAAGCCATGGCAACCAAAAGAAAAAACTTAAAATATTAAAATATATCTTCTTTTAGAAAACCGTAAGAGCTAGAGCTAGTCAGTGTCTACCAAGTTTGTTCAAATAAATGCCCTGGGGTGAAAATTGGCCCCGCTGGGGGGGGGGGGGTCATTTATTTTCTTTATTTGTATTATATAGAAAAAAAAACTTTAAAATGTTCTTATAAAGAACAAAAATAGCTAGAGCTTAGATATTAAGCTGACAGGGTGTTCACTAGCCACGAAATCCTGAGGGTCATTTTGACTACATTTTACTGACTACAAGGCCAAATCCCCATGATTTTAACAAAATTTGACCCTCCAGTTAAAATACTGAGGGTCAAATCAGGCCTTTTGGAAATTTGAAGGGTCAAAGAGTCATTTCAAGGGTCAAATGGACACCCTGTTTGAAACATCTTCTAGTGGATGTCTACCAAGTTTGTTCATATAAAAGCCCTGGGTTAAAAATTGGCCCCGTTTCAGGGGGTAATTGTTTTTCCCTTTATGTATATTTAGTAAAAACTTAAAAATCTTCTTTTAAAAACCCCAAAGAACTAGAGCTAAGATATTATGCATGTAACATCTTCTAATGGGTGTCTACCAAGTTTGTTCAAACTTGAGTTCAAATGTTGAGCAAATGAGTGCCTCAGTCGTTGCCTCTCTCAACCGTTAAGTTTTAGAACGGTCGACTAAAGTCACTTGGGCTCATTGGCATGTTATTTATTAGGTAAATAAAATAAGATATTGATAAAAAGAGTATCATACTCAAACATAGAACTATCACTTCAGTTAAACGTTTATTTTTATTCCTTAAAGCTCATTATTAAAATGTTGTACATCAGAAAGCTATTTTTGTGTACATATAGGGGTTACTTTTGTCGGCGGTGTCGGCGTCCCCTTAAACTTGTCCGGAGCATAAGTCAGTCATTATAAGTCGGATTGACTTCAAACTTGGTATGCATGCTTCTTATAATGATCCGAAGTGCAGTGCACAAGAACCGGTACTCTGCACTTCTTAATTTTTGAGTTATTGCCCTTTGTTAATTTTCATACTTTATTTTTGTCCGGGCCATTTCTCCTAATGTATAAAAGCTATGGACTTGAAACTTCATAGGATGATAGATCTCATTTAGAAGAAGAACAGTGCACAAGAAGCGGTGCTCTGCACTTCTTATTTTTTGAGTTATTGCCCTTTGTTAATTTTCATACTTTATTTTTGTCCAGGCCATTTCTCCTAATGTATAAAAGCTATGGACTCCAAACTTCATAGGATGATAGATCTCATTAAGAAAAAGTGCAGTGCACAAGAGCCGGTACTCTGCATTTCTTATTTTTTGAGTTATTGCCCTTTGTTAATTTTCATACTTTATTTTTGTCCAGGCCATTTTTCCTTAAGTATAAAAGCTATGGACATGAAACTTCATAGGGTGATAGATCTCATTAAAAAGAAGACCAGTGCTCATGAACTGGTACTCTGCATTTCTTATTTTTTGAGTTATTGCCTTTCGTTAATTTTCATACTTTATTTTTGTCCGGGCCATTTCTCATAAATTATAAAACTTATTAAAAGCTATAGACTTGAAACTTCATAGGATGACAGATCTTATTGATAAGAAGTGCAGTGCACAGAAACTGCTGCTCTACATTTCTTATTTTTTTAGTAATTGCCCTTTGTTAATTTTCATATTTCATTTTTGTCCTGGCCATTTCTCCTAAACTATTTTGTTCACAAGGTGATACATCTGACTCGCGGAGTTCTAGTTATTAGAAAATTTGAAAACAGTGTGATGTTGTTAAAACAAAAAAAAAATACACAAAAACAAGTCTAAAATTTTTCCCATTGCTGAATAGGCGAATGCATAACTACCCTGTGTGCATATATCTAGGCGGCGTTTACCTAGACTGATTCACAGATGCCGATTTACCAAAGTAAATGTGTTACGATTTATTTGAAATAGTGTAATCCTATTGGACAAAAAAATGATTTCAAATACTAAAAGTAAAAGTAAAGGCGACAATTCCTGCTTTTTCCACTGAGATCATGCAAGTCGACAATTCTGGCTTACATGTGGCTATTGATAAAGCATTCAATTTTTGCTGAGAACTATCATGGAATGATAAAAGTCAGCGAAAGTTGTTTGCAAAAAGGTTAATTCAAAGAAATATTGATATAGACAACAGAAAAGATTTCATTTTGTACATTTTACAGATCTGTAATTGATTTAAATAAGAGCTAGCTAAAAGAAATGGTTTTCAGGTCTGTACCGTGGTACATACTGCAGATGTCTCAGACAGTGGTTTACCAGTATACTAGTTGAACCGCGCACTTCTACTGAATGTGGTCATCATTAGAAAATTCACTATCGCCTCTATTACCATCAAGATCTAAATTATCAACTCTTTCATCATTATAATAGGAGTACTAACAATAATCATTGCTTTCATAAATCATCATTTTCATCATCATTATTATCACTTCCATCATCAAAATTATAATTTAAAATCCTCATCATTATCAAAATCATATTCATTATCAAAATCAAATTTATAATTATCATTTTATATATCTATATTATGTTTATGTGCTTGACAGATATATAGTTATGAAAGTGTTAGAAACTTTCTAAAAGATTTGTATGAAAAACTTTTAAGGAAGATCATAATTTATTATATACCTTTATGTTGCATTATTTGTATATAATTACAAGAAAATTATAGTTTTAATACCAGAAAATACTAAGTTTATTATACTTTTGAATACACATAAAATTTACAAAATTACTTTAAAATTCACCTGTTAAAAAAGAAAAGCGTTTAGAATTCTAAAAGGAAATTTTTGAAGTGTACATGTACTGTTACTTGTTATCTCATTAGGAATGTTTTTTTTTTATTTGTATTTTGTAGGACCTTTTATTGATTTGGAGACCAAGGCAGAGCAGGAGCGCAGCACTAAAAGAGCCTGGGGAAAGGCCTGCCTTATTTCGTGGTGGAAGCTTGCACGAAACAGGAAGACATGGCAGTGTTACATGAATGATTATATAATGACAATACAGAAAAAAAGTTTGAGGGTTAATGTGTTTCATGTGTTCAACTGACTACTCAAGTCAACATCTATACTGTAATGAAGCTTCAGAATTTAGCCTTTCTAAAGAATATTTAGGATCTTAAGTGGATGGACTTGTTAACCCATTTCCAGTAACATTTTGATGTATTCATGATATATAGCTGTGTATATGTTCTAGAAACATATTATTTCTACCAGCCAATGAAAGAGAGAGATGTCTGTGTGAAAATCTAAGCTAACTGAAATGTGTGAGCAACTCAATAGTTTACTAGTTCATGAAACATGCCATGAAAAGAAAACAAATCTAGAAAGGGAGTCAGATATCAAAATAGCAATGAAAGAACAGAAATATCTAAAACTTGCAGAATCCACTTGATTTAGTCTGTTTGTGAGAGAAAAATTAATGTTGAAGTGCAATATCAACTAAATTTGCTGGAATTATCCCAACTGGCAATTATGAAGCCTTGCTGGAATTCATATTACAGATAAAGTTTGCTGGACAGAAATCATGTCTAAATAATGAAGATACAGAAGTGGCTTTGATATATGAGAAAAATATACTTGAAAAATGGAATAGCTTTATTTAAGAAATAATTTAATACGCAAATACCAACTTGTGAATTTGGTTTTCGTAAAATAATGAGGTTTTATCTATATTTATGCATACAAGGAATGTATACCACATTATTAATATTATCACACGCTCAATAATTTTTTATGCCCCCGGCATATAGTAATTGAACTGTCCGTCTGTCTGTCTGTATAAGGATAACCTAAAACAGCAAGTTTTTTTATCTTGAGTTCTACCTGCACCAATGGCTTCATAATTCACACATTCACTAATCAGTTCAAAGAATACAATCTCCAGGGGCAAGTTACTCCATTTTTACCAAGTTTTTGCCCTTTTGAGCACTTTGAAAATGAAAAGATTAACCAAAACCGTCAAATTGGATATATCTTAAGTTCTGTCTATACTAATGGCTTCATAATTTTCACATGTACTTCTCGGTACAAAGTGCATTGATATTGCTAAGTAATATTACTGTGCCGTCCATTTTTCAGTTATTTCCCTTTTTATCACTTTGAAAATAGGGCATTGTATGGTTAACCTTTTTAGGCAAGTTGGATATATCCTAAACTCCTTAATACTTCTTTTACAGTATTATGCCCCCGGGCATATAGTGATTGAACCGTCCGTCTGTCTGTCAGTACGAGGTTAACCTAGAACGGCAAGTTGGATTTTTCTTAAGTTCTACCTGTACCAATGGCTTCTAAGTTTACACACTTACTAATCAATACAAAGTACATGATCTGGGCAAGTTACATAACTCTGGCTTTCATATTTACCAAGTTATGGCCCTTTTCATCACTTAGAAAATGAATAATGGTTAACCTAAAACGGCAAGTTGGAAATATCTTAAGTTCTATCTATACTAATGGCTTTATAATTTCAACAGTCACTTACTTATCAATACAAAGTACTTTATATTGCCAAGTTATATAACTGTGTCATCCATATTTCCCAGTTATTTCCCTTTTTTTTCACTTTGAAAATAGGGGCCTTGTCTGGTTAACCTATTTCGGCAAGTTGGATTTATCTTAAATTTCTCCTAATTGCTTAATTTCTTTAATGATATCTTTCATATTTAGTAGGTGGATACCTTTTGATGGTCCTCTAATTTTTTGTGGAGTGAGCGGTCTCTAGGGTCAAGGTCAAGGTCACTGATTTTAAAAAATAAATATAAACATTTTGCTCATACAGCCTTTATATTTTAGTTGATGTTTTAGTTTAATACAAACATGGGAGGTCCTCCTTCTTTGGGTGTAGTAAGGGGTCATTTGGGTCAAGGTCAATGTTACCAATGTCAAGGTCACCAATGTTAAAATTGATTTTTACAATTTTACAGGCGTATTGACCTTATTCTATAGACAGATGTTATTTATAATTGATAGAAACATAAACTTTGATGGAGTTAGGTGGTCAGTTGGGTCAAGGTCACCAGTTCTAAAAATAGATTTTTACACATTTGCTCATACAGCCTTTATTAAGTGACAAATATATTTATATTTGGTAGGAAGATAACTTGCATGGTCATCATTTTGATTGGGTATGGATCAGTGGGTCAAGGTCACTGGTGCTAAAATAGATTTTTACACTTTTGCCCATACAGCTTTATTTATTGACAGATGTTTTTCATATTGGTAGGAAGATAACTTGCATGGTATTCTTCCTTTGGATGGAGTTAGTGGTCAGTTGGGTCAAGGTCACCAGTGCTAAAAATAGATTTTTACACTTTTGCCCATACAGCCTTTATTTTTTGACAAATATATTTTATATTTGATAGGAAGATAACTTGCATGGTCATCATTTTGATTGGGGTAGGGATCAGTTGGGTCAAGGTCACTTGTGCTAAAAATAGATTTTTACACTTTTGCCCATACGGCTTTTATTTATTGACAGATGTATTTCATATTTGGTAGGAAGATAACTTGCATGGTATTCTTCCTTTGGATGGAGTAGGGGTCAGTTGGGTCAAGGTCACCAGTGCTGAAAATAGATTTTTACACTTTTGCCCATACAGCCTTTATTTATTGACAGATGTATTTCATACTTGGTAGGAAGATAACTTACATGGTATTTCTTCTTTTGGATAGAGTTAGGGGTCAGTTTGGTTAAAGGTCACCATGCTAAAAATAGATTTTACACTTTTGCCCATACAGCCTTTATTTAATGACAGATGTATTTCATATTCGGTAGGAAGATAACTTGCATGAAGTTGAATATTTTTCATCTTCACAAGTCAGAGCAATGACTTGGCAACTTATATTTCTCACAATTACAAAATGCTATGACTTTATCAAGCTATATTACTTGTGTTTACAATTTTTTGGCAATTTTTCTGTCCTTTACTGAGTGAATGGGTAAACATTTTTTGAAATATTGCTACTGACAAGAATCTGAGCCGGGGGCATTTGTGTTTAACAAACACGTTCTTGTTTACATTGTGATACATTGAGGGACTTTGAAATAACCTGGCACAAATGTGTACTACATCAAGAGGATGTGTCGCATTCATGAACCACGTCCCTTTTCAAAGGTCAAGTTCACCTTTTATTTTGAAGGTTCACACTATCACAACTAGAGATAGGTACACACATTCGTGTCCGGAATATACTTTGTAACTTTTTCATGCATCGAAGGATTTTAAAATAACTTAGCACAAATGTCAACCACATCTAGATGATGTGTTGTGTGTAAGACCCATGTTCCTACCTCCAAGGTGAAGGTCACTCTAATAGTTTGAAGGTGCTTAAGGTCATAAGAAGAGTTTGAAGGTACGCATTAGTTTTCAAACTGTAAAGTTGTCATGCAGTAGAGGATTTTAAAATAACTTTGCATAAATGTCTATCACATCAAGGTGATGTGTGCATCCTTGTCCCAAGGTGTTAAGTTTGTTATAAAAAGTACTCATTTCACAAGAACAATGTTAAGCAATTAGTTATTTTCATGGGGGCGTCCGTGGCCGAGTGGTTATGGTCATTGACTTCAAACCACTTGCCCCTCACCGCTGTGGGTTTGAATCCCGACAGGGACATTGGATTCTTTCATGTGAGGAAGCTAATCCAGCTAGCTTACGGAAGGTCGGTGGTTCAGTGCATTATTTCAGGCACAAACTGGCTCCTCCACCAGTAAAGCTGAAACGTAATCATATTACCTATACTGTGTCAGTGTGACGTAAAACCCAATCAAACAAACAGTTATTTTCATTCTGTTTTCTTTTCATAATACCTGCATGCTTAAGAACCCTTTTTTGCGGGATATGTCACTTGCATGACAGCTCTTGTTTATACAGCATTACAGTATATTTTTTCCAATGTCTCTTATTTATGAGGAACATAGTTTCATTATGTGGTTCTTTGAATCGAGTTTGGGGTCACTGGGTTCAAGGTAAAGTCCTGCATTTATATATATTTGATAAAGTTGATATTTCTTAACTTCATCACAATTTATAACAATAACTTACCAACTTAAATTCTTCAATACGCCATGACTCCATGTCAAGTTATATAACTTTACAATTTTTTGGCAAATTTTCTGTGAATGACTGAGTGAATGGGTAAACATTTTTTGAAATGCTGTTACTGATAAATAACCTAGCTGGGTGAGGGCATAAAATTTGTGTTTTCAAACATGTTCTCATTTGTCATTGTTTAAATCAAATCTGAACTGTTATTGTCAAAGGGTTGTTTGTTAATATAAATGTATGAATGAAATCAAAGCGGCTTATTTATTTGCTGTTTTTCACTCTTTGAGTTTCTTTTTGTTCAGACGTATGAACAAATTTGCTTCAAAATAACAAACATAATAGCTTAAGTGATACAGTGTTCATACATGTGAACAAAAACCTGCCAATTTAAAGAAAGATATTTTTGTTCATACATATGAACAAAATCGGCTGATTTTTGTGCTATTTTTTGCTCTGTGAGTTTGTTTTGTTCAGACGTATGAACAAATTTGTTTCAAAATAACCACAAAATTACTGAAATAATGCAGTGGTCATACGTATGAACCAAAACCTGCCATTTAGTGTAAAAAGTTTGGTTTTTGTGTTCATACATATGAACAAAATTGAAGTGCTAGTTTATGTGCTATTTTCGCTCTGTTAGTTAAATTTGTTCATACGTATGAACAAAATCGAAGCAGTTCATTTATATGCTATTTTTCACTCTGTGAGTTTATTTTGTTCATACGTATGAACAAAATCGAAGCGGCTTATTTATGTGCTATTTTCACTCTGTGAATTTGTTTTGTTCATACGTATGAACAAAATTGAAGCTGTTGCTAATTTATGTGTTATTTTTTACTATGATAATAAACACTGCATAATTTCATAATTTTGTGGTTACTTTGAAAACATATTTTTGTTCATACGTGTGAACAAAACAATTGTTCAGACGTATGAACAAAAATATGTTTTCAAATAACCACAAAATTATGAAATTATGCAGTGTTTATTATCATATATGACTGTATGAAAAAACCCTCACAAGTTTAAAAAGAAATTTTGTTCATACGTATGAACAAAATCGAAACGGCTAATTCTTTGTTGTTATTTTTGTCGTTAATTTTGTTCAGACGTATGAACAAAATTTGTTTCAAAATAACCATAAAATTATGAAATTATGCAGTGTTCATTATCATATGTAAGAAAAAACCCTCACATGTTGAAAAAGAAATTTTGTTCATACGTATGAACAAAATCGAAGCCGCTTATTTTTTGTTCTATAAATATTTTCACTGTGCAAGTTGGTTTTGTTCAGCATATGAACAAAATTTGTTTCAAAATAACCACAAAATTACTGAAATAATGCAGTGTTCATACGTATGAACAAAATTGAAATGCTAATTAATGTGCTATTTTCGCTTTGTGAGTTAGTTTTGTTCAGACGTATGAACAAAATTTGTTTCAAAATAATCACAAAATTATGCCAGTGTTCATACGTATGAACAAAAACCTGCCAATTTAAAAAGAAAAATAGTTTTGTTCATACGCATGAACAAAATCGAAGTGGCTATTTTTTGCTCTGTGTCAGTTTTTGTTCAGACGTATGAACAAATTTGTTTCAAAATAACCACAAAATTATGCCAGTGTTCATACGTATGAACAAAAACCTGCCAATTTAAAAAGAAAAATAGTTTTGTTCATACGTATGAACAAAACCGAAGTGGGTATTTTTGCTCTGTGTCAGTTTTTGTTCAGACGTATGAACAAATTTGTTTCAAAATAACCACAAAATTATTCCAGTGTTCATACGTATGAACAAAAACCTGCCAATTTAAAAAGAAAAATAGTTTTGTTCATACGTATGAACAAAATCGAAGTGGGTATTTTTGCTCTGTGTCAGTTTTTGTTCAGACGTATGAACAAATTTGTTTCAAAATGACCATGCAGTGTTCATACGTATGAACAAAAAACTTAAAAGTTGAAAACAAAATTGATCAACATTGAAGCGTCTGTCTAATTTATGTGCTATTTTTCAGTATGTGAGGTAATTTTGTTCAGACGTATGAACAAAATTTTGTTAAAAAATACTCAATATTGCTGAACTTATTCAGTGTTCATACGTATGAACAAAATCTTGACAAGTTGAGAAAAAAATTTGTTCATACGTATGAACAAGTTTGAAACTGCTAATATATTTGTTATTTTTTACACTATTCTTATTTTTTGTTCAGACGTATGAACAAAAATTGTTGAAAAATAAAAATATATTGCTACAATTTTTCTGTTTTTGTCCTATTTTGCCCAAAAAGCAGTATTTTTAAGTGTGTTTTTTCAAAGAAATAACTCTTAAACGGGCCAAAAAGAGGGACACTCGGAAAATCCTCTTTTATTCTGGAAGCAGATTGTATATAATTTTCCTTTTTGGTTTGTTTTGGGTTACATTAGGAGGCGTTGAGTTAGTTTAATTAAAGATGGTATGGCTTCAGAGCAATTTAGTAATTTTGCTTTTTTTATTATGTGATATCATTTTAATAAACAATATGCGTTCAGTTGTACTCTAAAAAGCTATTCTCTATTCTCTAATTAAACGCTTAATTAGTGGTTGCATTCATACATGCGCGTAAATTCATTTTTTCCTTCAACGAAGCATTTTAATTGGCAATAAACCCCGCATGTGAAGATATTTTCTGAGAATGAATCGATCTGTCAAAAAAAGTAAACAGATACGTGTATTTGAAGCCTAACTATAAAAGTACATTGTAAGAACAACGACATTTTAAAGTGGGTTGCATAAATTATATTATAACAGTAGCTTTATTTTTAGGAAAATAGCTTATTTTATGTTAACTGTTGTAGCAGAAATCTATCTTAAAGCTTACATAAACAAAATATTTTTTTATTTACTCGTGTCATCAGCAAATCCATACACTGCTGTAGGTCTTGCAAATTAAATAAATAATGCAACCAAACGAAGCATGCACAAACGTATGCCACATGCATAATTCGTTCTTATATCCAAAATTCAAGGCTTATGTCCGAATTTATTAGATTTTGCTCAGATTTGTTATAACTGATGATCCTTTAAAGTGTAAAGATTTATAATATTACATCATTATTTATTTGTTATGCAAAATTGTTTATTGGTGATATTTAGACTATTGTGATAAAAGGGATACCAAATTGGCATATTCATTGAACTTTACATCTACTTTCATGCGTTGCTCAGAGAATATTTGGAAAGTGAATGGAATATATTTGAGCCGCGTCACGACAAAACCAACACAGTGCGTTTGCGACCAGCATGGATCCAGACCAGCCTGCGCATCCGCGCAGTCTGATCAGGATCCATGATGTTCGCTATCAATTTCTCTACTTGTAATAGGGTTGGTAAGCGAACAACATTGATCCTGATCAGACTGCGCGAATGCGCAGGCTGGTCTGGATTCATGCTGGTCGCAAACCCATTATGTTGGTTTTGTCGTGGCGTGGCTCATTTATATTTTTTATTCTTCCAAAAGGGTATGCACATTTAGCAAGGAGTCTGTTTCTTGTCTCATTTATATACTAGTGTCTGAGAGTATTCCTTGTAATTTCTTAGACTAAGCAATAAACCTTCAATAAAGAATGCTGAAAGAATAGAACTCTTTCAAATAGAAGCATTGATTTATGGGAATTGTTTCTATAAACAGTTGATTGCTGGCCATTATTTTAGTTGTTATTTAGAGTGCACTTCAGCTTTATGGTTGCAAGTTATATGCAAAGGTATAAGAGTGCAGTTAAGTTTATTTTAGAGGTAATAAACGAGGTATTCTTAAGGAAACATGTAACGTAGTAACACTTGAAAAAGATACATAACTATAGAAACTCGATGTTTGTTTGTCTAAATAGAGAACAAAGTTATGTTTTCTTCTCCTTTACTGTTTTGTTACAGACACATATTTAATGTTTCCCTTATCAATACGAACTGTTAATTGTTGCTGGAAGGACAAAAAAGACGAATGAAAATGATGAAATCTTTTTATGAAACAAGGGTTTGATATGTGAGAGTTTGATACATATAAGATGAGAGTATGTTATATGAGTATTTGGTGTATGATATATGAGTGTTTGATATGTGATATATGAGTGTTAGATATATGATACATAGAAGTCATATGATGTTGAATCTCATATGATTTTGATACACGAGTTTGATATATGTGATATATGAGTATGAGTATATGTATTGAAAGTGTGATACATATGATATGACGGATTGTGATATGATATGAGATTTTGTAATAATGTGATATAATGATTAAATATATGTGATATGAGGATTTGATATAATATTATGCTTAAAGAATTTAATATAAATGTTATAAAACTTAAATGAACTGCTATGGGAATTTGTGATATATAAGATACGAACGTTTGATTCATTAAATGAGAAGTTGATAGAATATAATTTGAGAGCATGTATACTCAAATACAGTTTGGTGAATAATATAATTGTATGAAAATAAATGAGCCGCGTCACGACAAAACCAACATAATGGGTTTGCGTCCAGCATGGATCCAGACCAGCCTGCGCATCCGGGTCTGTAAGCGAACAGCATGGATCCTGATCAGACTGCGCGGATGCGCAGGCTGGTCTGGATCCATGCTTGTCGCAAACCCATTATGTTGGTTTTGTCGTGACGCGGCTCAAATGTCAATTGATATTATTTGATATGACTGTGTGGTACATATAATATATATACTTCCTCAATGTAGTCTCATCATATGTGATATGACAGTTTAATATCAAGTCTATATCTTTATTGTTTCAGATATAGGGTATACATGGTTACAATTACAGATCTCGGGGCCAGCAATACAAGCGAGGTTGTGGACTTTGCAACAAACCTTACGGGTACGTGGTTTTTGTTTTGTTGAAACTGACTAAATTTGTTTTTTTTTTTATAAGATAAGCCAGTACATTCAGAATGCACAATACAATTTGTGTGATAAAAATGATACGTTAAGATAATGTATAAGACATCAAAACAGTAATACAACAGAAATTGTTGTTATATATAAAGAAGAGATTTGTTTCAGCGAGTATGCTAAATATGTTACTGAGAAGTGAGAAAATGTGGATATTCTATCGCATCGATGTGAGATATATAGCATAATATTCTTCACAAAAAAACTGTTGATTTTTCTTTTTCTTTTCATGCCTTATAAGTAAAACACGACATTTTAAAAGCTGTTTAAAATGAAGCATGGGAAACAGACGACGCTAAAAAGGACACGACTTCAGGCATTCAATGGCTACGTCAACGCTGTGTATTTAACGTTATTCAAATTTATAGTCACAATTGCGGCACAACATTGTTGATGACATACTGATATTCATCACATACCCGTGCCGATTTTGCAACTCCGTAAAAATGGTATTGCGCGGCTGCGGATGCATTTTGACTTGACGTAATAGGGTTATATAAACATAGTGTAAAGACGCGCTAAATGCAAACGTTAGGCGCGTCAATAAAAAATAATTATTTTGCAAATTAAACAGTCTTTTTTGAGTGTGTGATAAATAGAATATTACATTCGCTAGGTTCATTACTGATTTTATTAAAGTCGTTGAATAACATAATATTGTGCTCGCCAGAGGCTCTCAAAATATAATTTTATGCAACTCGTTAAATAAATTCAGTACTTAACATACACTCAGTCAATATCTTCTATATAATCTTATGCTGCTTTATGCTTTTGATCTGGCTTGATTTTGCAGGTGATATGCAAGATAAAGTCATCTAGTAGAATTTATGAAATGGAAAAAAGTGTGAGCAATAATGGTTTCACTAGCTGTATAAATTTTATTTTCATAAATGAAAAGTTGTTACTTTTTTAAATACAAGAACCCTTAGTTTGATTTACACATTATATAACTTTTTTATAATATTTCCATTCATTTTCATTTTTACAGACACATTTGATTACGTTCAAGTGCGATCAAGGGGGATACAACTCGAAGAGGCTCTTATACTCTTTGTAGTTGTCGGACTTTGGGCATGCGCAATGGTGCTATTTGTGAAGCAGTGGGATAATATTCGTATTTTACAACCTCAGGAAACTCGTTATAAACACAGTCCAAAGAATTTGCACACAATAAAAATTGTGAAAAAGGCTCAAGATAGTGTAATATATAAAAATTATAGTCGGAAAATGTCGTTGACAATGGTAGAAAGAGAGAAGAAGCTTTTACGGATGAATACAGTTCCGATCATGGAAAACGTGCATTCACTGCAGACTATAAACTCATTCAAAAAACTTTCCACTATAGAAATGGAAGAAGGGATTCAAGAGGAATCGGACAATGTTGACGTAGGCTCAAATGTGTGACGTAATTAATGACGTCATATTTTTGTATATACGACACTGCCACAAAGTGTGAAAATTTTCTGTGATATGTTTCCTGATACATACAAGTGTTAATTATTCCATAATCATAAAATAGTAGAAGTATTATTTAGATGGGAATGTAACGTAGATGGGTCGGTGTTATGTATAATTTATTATTTCATCCCTTTTCTCAAAAACAATATCTTCGGTATATATTTTTACAATGTTACTGACATTTAAGAAAACGACACATTTTGTGTACATATTTCATAGTTCTAAGTTCCTATACGGCATGTGTCTATAAATCAGTCTATAATACACTTTTGCTTTTAAAATCATATGTTTTACAAACAAATTTGATGTCATTACTAATGAATTGTACCTAATTTCTGAACGAAAACATGTGTATCATTTTATATACTAGGGAGTTTACCATAATACTTTTTAAGGATGCAAACCATGGCTAAATATATCTTCTGAAGTTACGTAACGTAACATTTTTGAAAATATGAAAATATATATGTATTTCTGCGAAAAAGCCAATGTGTGATTTGTGGCAAAATATGAAAAAGGCATTTATGAGCATCTCTAGTCCATAATGCTACTGAACAAATATAAATTTGTGTCAAGGAAAAGTGTGATTACGGACATCAACTACAAATTATTTTTACTAAAAAACAATAAACAACATGTTAGCGTTCAATTTTAAATCCAATTTTAAATCAGCCAAACTGTATTACATACGAGACACAGTTTTGAATAATTGCGTAAAAGTAAGACGCTGATAGGAAACATTGAACGGTTGGTTATACACTGTCAGCCAAAAAGTCGCGAAGTAGCAGTGACTTTAGCTGTTTAAGACATATATATTTTCGCATTAACGTCTAACTTACTACTCTTCGTAAGCATGCCTCCTGATAAATAATCAAATAACGTTTAAACAAATGGTTGAACAAATCATCATCGAGGCCAATTTATGCGAAACAGACTTGTAGATTTTTTTTTTTTTGAAAATTTAGACGTTCGCATTGGACAGAAAACGAGGACAAAGTCTACACAAATTGAAAACTAATTTCCTGCCTGCTATATATTAGTCGATAAAGTACAGAACGAATGCCTTAATTAGCGCGTGCTTAAAAATACATTTACAGTTATTGCATGCCCTGACAGAAAAGGGAAATGCAAGCAATTAAAAGTACATTTGTTTATCATGTAGGCCTTTGCAATTTATTTGCTCAACGTAGGAATCTGTTACGTGATCAGACCATGTCAATGCATAATAATTTCTGTTATTATCTTTAAGTTAGCAATTGTTCCTGCTACATAAGTGGTGTAGCAACATTAAAACCATATTAAATACGCCCTGGGGATGGTAATTGAATAGACCAATTTGTGTAGTGAAAATTATGTTGGTGTATAGAATATACCAAATGCTGTATTGATCATTAAAGATTGACTTTATAAAAAAAAACGGTATGGTAAAAATTGAAATGTCAAATGCATTAGTTTATTACAATATCCCCATTAGACAACACCAGTCGCGTATGTATAAATGTCAGGGTATCAAAAGCAAATTTTACGGAACGTTAAAGGCTACATAATTCAAATTTATTTTGTCGCATGGAATTTGTAGGTTGTTTTTTTAGTATAACAACTGTTTAAACGAATTTAACTGTTTAAATCTATATTAATTTCCATTTGAATGGAATTTTATTTCGTTTAAACTAATTAACTTTCTCTTTAAACGAAATAATTAATTAGATTTCATGAGATAAATGGTTTGTTTAAACGAATTTGTCTATTCCTTTGATACATACTCATGTCAAATTGAGGAGCAATGATTGACTATCTAGTATGCTTATCAACATTGATTGGACAATGAAATGTGTTTTGCAGTGACATATTAGTTCTTAAACCTCGACAGGACATTTCATTTCTTACTACTAATATATACCACATTTATTGCTCAAAACGTCGCATGATTCTCTTTCCTTACAGAAGTATATTATTAGATATTACGATTACACATTATGCCTCAGAAATCCATATTAATTTTATAAAGTTCTTTAGAAATGTTTAACATGTGTTAAATAATGTTTCAATAATAGATTTAGAGCATGTTTTACAGGCAGGTTGAATATGCAGTAATGTGCCGTAAAGGTAGAAAAATGTTAACGGCGTAGTATTTTTGGCTTCCATACACATTCACTGTTATAATTATACTAATTGCCAACAATGCAAAAGGAGCAAAGATTGTTCAAATACATAGCAAATCAGTATTTTCTTAATACAGTAACAGGATACCAAAAATAAAAAGGTTTTGAGAAATGGAATAGAATTTCTGAGGCATAATGGGCCATAAAGTAAACTTTAACAGGCACGTGTGCAAAACGTTCTTCTGTTCTACACATTAAAAGAAATAAGTCATTTTGATTTGTTTTGTTATTTATAGGAAATGATTTGTATTAAATATCTTAGACTGTACATAATGTATTATATATATTTTTATTAACGTTTAAACTTGGTTTATGTATTAATTCAAATTTTTTAGCAATTTGATTTTGGGTTCTGTAAGTTAAGGTTTTTACATATATCATGCTCAAAAATTCTACAAAAAATTCCCAAAATAAAATTTGTAAATATTACTGAAATGATGCCTTATTGTTTTCATACAATTAGTAGAACTCTTTATTAAGCTTCTATTAAAAGAATTTTACAAAGTACATATATTACAATAATTATAGTCACGTGGTACTTGCAAATGGTAATAAAATATTGAAAACATATGATCGAAATAATATCAATGTTCTTAATTTTAGTTCGTTCATTGAATTATTTAATTTATAAAGAATCATTTAGAAATTGTTGGATTCAAAATATTGTTTAGATTTAAGTTTAAATTCTTTGTTATTAAAACGGTGTTAATTTAAAATTCAAAGAAATTAAGTTTTACAATTTGACTTCGAACATTAATTTAAATTGAATCTTTCGTAATATTATATGATTGTTGTACCAGTGCTAAAGAGCAGATATTTTGAATATTGAATGATGTATTATATAATGTATTGAATTATTGTATAATGTTGTACGTTAATTATATGATGGTGCGACCATGTGTATTAACCTTCTATTGTTTTGTGTACTGTTAATGTCACTAAACTGTCATCATCTTAGCAACACTTTTCGAAGTAAAAGTGGGGCAATTATCATTACCCACTTTGCGTCGCAAGTAGCGCCGGAGCGGGCGTTGGTTTACCGTTTTGTTTAAGTTTATGGCAGAATGTCAGAATGTTTCTTGCCGCACGAAATCGTGCTTGGTTCAAACAAGTATCATATTCAAAATAACGATTTTTTCATGTATAGCTTGCCCAATTGCAAACCCTCACTTTGCCAAAATGTTTTAAACCGTCTATTTACAGTTAACCGGATTTCGAGAGAAAAAATTATCAACAAAAGCCTGAAGCTTAATGACCAATTGTGTCTCAGAAATGATTTTATTTTTATTTCTCAAAAGTATTTTTTATTTGGTGAACTTTATAGTATTCAAAAAGATACTCATTGGCCAATTACCCTGAACCATCTGTTTCATCTGTTGGTTATCGTGATCAGTAAGTGAATAAGTATTTTGTACTGAAGTTTACATTTTGCTACTTTTATGACATATTATTTCACATGCATTACTACTTTCTTCTGTAACAAGCTTCTACATTTTCTAAAATCATTATGTTAACATTAAGTTAACATTACAAAATTTATTTTTGCCCTTTTCTAAAGAAGTAAAAATGTATTTGTTTCTGAGGCATAATGTGCCTTTGAGTAGGGTCAAACTGCTGGAATGCTCAGACTGGCTTGACACTAGTCTTTTTGTTCATAATTTTCCTTACCGCTGAAATTATTGAATTTGATAATTAAACATATATTTGAATTACTTACATCATGTACCTTATAAAGTAATGAAAAAAATAAAAAGTGATTTTTAAGATGACATAATTTGCCTTATACAAACAAAGTGTAATAATTTTATTGTAAGCTAATTTTAGCGTTATACCATATTGGTGTCTATGGAAATATAATAACGATTCTCAATTATGGCATGAAAAAATAAAGTTATAATTTTATTATATCTGAGAAGCTTCATAGCTAAATTAACTGAACTCGTTGAATAAAACAAACATAACTTTACTTTACTTGTAAAATAAATTCAGTATTGAACCCACATTTAACCAATATCCTCTTTTTAATTCATCTATTTAAAAGAAGTATTCGCAAAGTAATTCTTATTTTACACATAGGTTATAGAATTAGAATTCATAAAATGTCAACCGCCTTACTAACAGTTTCAATGTTTTTACGAAAATGAAGGCGATTTCTTTGAAATTGTTTTTGTTTTGAAGTTTTGTTTGTTTGTTTGTATCATTTTACGCCTTTTCCCCAACAGTATTTCAGTCATATAGGCGGGTAGTTTCCTAACCATCGTTCCTGGAGAGTTACACCAGTACTAGACTACCTTCCTCCGCGCTAAACTACCAAAGCATCTCCCGGGGATCGAACCCACGCCAGAGAGGTAACTGGATTAGAAGTCATCGACTCTAACCCCTCGACCACGGAGGCGGTTTGAAGTTTTGTAATATGTGATGAAAATTGTCACCAATAATGTGGATGAGATGTGTAAAACAAGTTCAATGATGGGAATATATTCCTATATCATTAAACATATGTTTATATGTTTACTGTAAAACAAATATCATTTTCCTTTAATATGTAAATATATGTACACAATTATGATGAAATGGGTCATGTATTATGATAAATAACATCACAATCTTCTTTATATTATATGTACAATATGCTAAAAGATAAAAAATTAAATACATCTATTATTTACATTGTTTGTTGTTGTTGCTGATGTTGTCATACAGTATGCGACACCTTTCAGCAATTATAATAGTTATAGTTAAAGAATATTTCAGAAGAGTTATATTGTTTTTATACGACACTGCATAATTTTATCTCAAAGGATTTAGCAGACTAGCCAAAGACGAAACAACAATTTAAGTGTAAAAGGGCAAAAGGGCATAAAACAGAGCATAACCATAATGATTTCAGTGACCAAATTACGAAACGATTATGACACAATGACAAACAGGCGCTCCAGTGCACGTCTATATACATCAAACTTTAAATAATTCAATACAGCTGAGTCTGTAATTGTCCATTTTTCCTTTGTTTTCATCATTGCTCACTAAGGATCTCCCACTTTCAGAGTTTTTTACAAGAGTTTGGCATTAAATAACAGTTACTGCTTATCTTTCTCACACAAGTCTTAAACTAGACAATACAAGTTTTGCAATGCAATGTGACACTATAAATCAGTCCCGCAAGCCATAATCCGGGAGAAAAACATTACATGTAGATGATAGAGATGATGTCCGGTTTAGAAAGGGCTGATTATTGGTCATTTTAGCTTTTAAACTGACCTGTAATTAACCTTTTTAATAGTACGAGTATATATACTGTTTTGTTTTTACGATGCATCAACAAAGTTTTGGTCACATGGCACCCAAATTGAAAAGATGATTTGGCTAACGTCGGACGTTCAAATTTTTAAGCAACACCAATGGTCAAAACTACCTCACTTGCTAGATCTACGAGATACATAGATTTTAGTAATTAGAACCCATTTAGTCTCGATCACGAGTTTAACGGTGACTGTAATTCTGATGCTTCAACCCGTGAGCCTCATGGGGAATAATAGTTGCTACCATCAGACTAAAGGCTGATTGTGGTCTGTACTGGTGGTACGGGAATATTCAGTTGCTCTGAATGACTGTAAACTATCGACGTCTACCATGGGTTCATACATTTTAAAAAGGAGTTATACGTTTAAACATAGTCTAAAAATTGTATAAGTGGAGAGATCAATGTGGTCAATAAGGTAGTTGAAAACCAAATATTTTATTCAGTCTATTTATAAGTAAGATATAATAGAACGTGACGCATACCAAACGCCTCCTAGCTCCGGTTTGAGTGGTATTCAGTCCACAATACTAAAATTATATGAACCTTGAAGAACTAGCACAATATAAAGACAGAATCGGACATAGTGATGTATTCCTGAATAAAAAAACTGTATCAACAATCGTTTCTCTTCTGAAAGTCTGACCGTGATTCAGTCAGACATTAATATAATTTGAGAAGGTGAAGGTTAACTCTGCGGCCAACCAATAAATTTGTATTGAAATATTTGACGAGGATACTTTTAACGAGCGTGTCTAAATTATGAAATACTCCCACAATTTCTGATTTTCTTCCTGCAGCTTACGAAACAGGTAAACAAGTACAATATTCAAAATTAAAACGTAAATGTTAAGCAGGTGTCGCTTTCTCAAAACCCAAGAAAGTTATTTGATATTAATAATACCGTTTTATATTAGAAATGTATTCAATATACGAAGTTGTTTATTAAAAGCTATAACCGGATTTAAATTGAAACCGACATGTTCGCAATAAATAAAAACACGTAACACAAGAAATGGATGAAATACTATTAACCTAAACTTTAGGCGAACGAAAAAAAGCTTCTTTTCATATGCCATTAAATATCCTCCAACATAAACAATCTGGACATTAAATGCAAAAATTGTCATAGAATTTATGTCTTCATTCCACTTATTTTATCTGCAACGTAGCAAAATATCAATCCTTTCTGCCCATTAACAATACATTACTGCTTTGTTTACAGGAAGTAGAATATTGAAGCAATACTTAAACAAGTTCTCTTATGGTGAAATATTACAGTTATAATGGAAAACTCGAGACACAGAATATCAAACAATTCAATTTAAGTGAGGTTTTAAGTTAAAACATCATCATTCTTCTTCAGTTAAGAAGATAGCTATTTTACACATTTTCATAATTTTTGAGCTATATTGAAAAATGGAAGATGTTCCTGTACATTCGAACATGCCCTGTAAATATTATATTTAGTTTATGTTTGAATTATTGGTTTATGTTTGAATGATTGGTTAGGTAAATAGATGGTCTGCTGCATACCATCCTCTGCAATCAGTTTCTTTAAAAACGCTTTACAATGTAAATTACTGTCAAAAACATATCCCTCTAAACATTATTAAAAGCAACTGCCTGTAAATGTTTATGAATCGTTTTTGTTTTATTACAATGAATACAAATAAGTATTGCTATAGCATACCATGTTACATTCTGTATCATTCAGGCTCGGGGCAGTTACTTTGTAAATTAAAGGAATGCATTCCATCACCATTACTTTGGGGTTTAGTGCAGTATCAGTACCAGTACCATTACTTGATTTGGGGCAAGTTATGCAGTACATTACCATTACTTGCACTAAGTAATGTAGTATCATTACCATTACTTTTGAGTATAAGACAATTTCTTTTTTGCAAGCTAAGATGTTTTGCAAAATATCAAACTAATCATGTACATTTGTATACCATTATTATTAAATTTTTAAATATTCATCTCTGTGTTTTACCTTTAAATGAAAATACAACCAAATTGAATTTACATTAAATTGTATTTTAAGTCAGTAATAATGCCTATGCCTTTTGTGATAATTAGTCTGGTACATGGTATCTTAACATAATGTAACAATGAAAACTCTACAAAGGTACTAATGTGCCCAATGGTCAAACAAAGGCAAGTGTTTAATAGTAATTTTATCTTGCATAAAGGGTTATGGTTGGTAGCAGGGCTTTTCATAAAGATGTATAAAATATCATCATTTAATCCCCATTCTACACTGAACAGTACTTGCCTGCAAGTACAATAAATGCTTCAATTGGCACTAATGTGTTATATAACAGTGCAGACATATAAGTGAGAAGGGATATTGAATTTTCATGGTTTTATAAAATAGCAGAAAAACTGCCGTCTTGCTGATATTTCCAAATCCCCCTCAAAAACATTATATAGTTGAAAAAAATCGAAATGACACTTCAAAATGTTCATATTTTAACATTTTTGCGTTGAAAACAAACAGTTCCACCAACGGGAAAAACCTTTTATTATACCACGGAATTCTTTCATCCGGTTTTGTTTCTAGTATCACGTGATCGTACAGGACAATACCGCGATCTGTGCTCCGGAACGCACGGAATCAGGGTTTTTATCAAACATATAGGGATACGAATAACCGCTTTTGTTTTTATATTTGTAGAAATTCATGGCACTAAAAATTATAATTGAATAATTATTTCATATATATGATGACCAATTTATCGATTTAGCTTGAAATGAGATAGGGGCCTAGTTAATGACCAAAATTGATAAACGATCCCGGGCATACCGGATACCGGGATTTTTCCGGATCAATGTTGTGACACGTGACCGCGTTAAATAAATTATCTTCTCCTATTTATATTGGCTACGTAGTAGATTATGGAAAAGAAAACCCGATAAATTGACGCTTTTGTCAACATTCGTTCCGGAATTAAGGTGTCAGTAATGATGGATTTATACAATAAACCTAACTAGATCAGTAATTTCCATTTACTTAAAATTTTATTTCATTTGTTTCATTTTACCATCTAGAGGTCAGTGGCTTTAAGGCCATCAAATTTTTATCTCGTGTTCTTTGGATCAACCATACCATATATGATGTAGTAGGTTTGGTAAAGTAATGCAAAGTAATGCATAGTAATGCATCTTTATTACCTGAATTTTGCATTCCAGTACCATTACAACTTATGCAAATTGACATGCAGTGTCATAACATTGCATTACTCTCAAGAAAAGTAATGTATTCCTACTGCATTACCATTATCAGTATCATAACCCCAAGCCTGGTTTCATTGAGTTGTGTTAAACTGGTTATCTACAACGAGTAACTAATTTGAACTATACCACTATCTTCTCAAATGTTCTATCGTTTATACATTAATTAACCGCGGTGCGGGATTGAATAAAGTTATTTAATAAACAAAACAGTATTACACAAGTGTAATAACAATATAACGTGACATAATCTGCTTTATATAAAATCATATACAAACATCTTACATGTCAATCATTCTTATTTTGGATATGTGATATGTAATAAATAGAATATTATATTGATGTAGACTCAGTAGTGAATTTATTGAAATCGTTGAATAAATCATTCAAAATTATGCTCGCTAGAGGCTTGCATATGTTTTTCTTTATTCAACTCGTTCAATAAATTTACTATAAGACCTACACTCATTTAATATCCTGTTAATAAATATACGAATGAGCGTGTTATTAACTCGACCCTTGATTCATAGAATAATTAAAACTCTCGATTATACCAGAACAAAAAAGTGTAGTAAAACACCATTTCCCACACCCGTTACTAATAATGTATTTTCTGTGAACAATTTGACACGTGATATTTGAGGACAGAAAATGCTGTAGACGAAGCTCAAAACAATTTACATGTTTCACTTATAACAATCTAGTTTATGTATTTTCATTTTCAAAAGATGGCATGCTGCTTTTAAGGTATTTGACTTTACCGAGGAAGTCATGTTTTGCACATTAGATTTTTTGCTGATAAATTATTGGTAGCATGGTATCATGATCATTAACTATTATGAAACATAATTTACGTCGTGTTTTGTGTTATTCTTAATTTCGCTTGCGATTTATCAAGATGTACTGATGAGAATCGGTGTTAAATCTTAACGTTTATTATTGTCATCTGCAGGGGATAATTTATAGAAGTAAATATAACATACCTAGAATTAATAATGGTTCTATTAAAATATCCGCACATTTCTTTTATTTCAAACAGTCATCATTCAATTTTAAGTTTTCAGTACTGAATTATATATATATATATTTTTTTTGACAAGTTGATACATTTATTTAAATAAAATAAAGTCAA